GGATAATCTCCAGAAATCAATTTAAAGGGTAATAAAATAATTGCTGATGTAATATTTTCCCTATAACTATTACAAAACACACCAAAAAAAATAAGTATTTATATTTGTGTACAAGCTGTTTAGATTGTCAAAAAGCCTGTGTTTTTAGGGTTATTAACAAAGTTTGTGTACTCAGACCAGTAATATTTGGGGTCACAAGTGTTTGCCGTGAATATTTTGTGGGTCAGAAGATAAAAAGTTTGGGAACCACTGGTTTAAAGCACGGATTAGTCTCCATAGTATGGGTTATACAGATTAGCTTTGTAGAGCCACAACAGAGTGTGTAAATGAGGCCACTGATTGTTGTGTAATGCTCTTTCAGTATCCTGGTTGGACAAAAAGGCACTATATAAGTACAGACCATGTACCTGTGTCTGTTATGGTGTGATGGCACTCTTAATAAGACATGCAGACAGAGAGGCAAACTACAAATTATGCTTTAAACTGAACTGTAAAAAAACAAGTAGTAAAGAAAAGAAGATCTTAAACTGGAGCATATGATCATCAGACATATCAGTTGTGTATCTGCAGGTTTTCTGTGAGATACAGTATGACAAATAAAAGACCCTTTACTTTTAGTATTGTAGTAAAAAAGTTAAAGTTAGACAGAGGAGAAGTCAACGGGAGTTTGAATGTGTGCACTCTGTAGTCTATAGCAGTGAAAGAAGTAAAAGCCTAGTTATGTTTACACTGTATAAGAAGTGTACGGACACAACCAAAACATCAACTGATGTAATGATTACTTCACTGTGCAGTGGGATTTAATAAAGATGTAATAAGCACCGCGAATATCGAACACATTTGCATCTAATTCAGGTGTTTTTCACTGATTGATGTGTAAAACTGGCCAAAGATAAATACTTTTAGAGTGGAACTTATTTAAAATGGCATACAGAGAGTAAGAAAAACTGCTAGTTTAATAAATATCATTTCAATAATGTCAATTCAATTCAGTTTATTTGTATAACTCCAAGTCCCAACATACGTTGTCTCAGGACACTGTAGATAAAAAGAACAATGTAAAGAAGAAAGCAGCAGATTGCGTTGAATCACTTCATCACAGTCTCCCATCCTGAGCAAACGGTGGAGAGGAAAAACTCCCTGCTAATCAGGAAGAAACCTCCAGCAGAACCAGGCTCAGGACAGGCTAAATGTGCTCTTTAAAGTGTTTTTTTATTAAACAGAAAGTGAACTGTATCCCAAACTTTCTAATTTCATGAAATGATCAGTTTGACAGGTTATGGGGACTAACAAGGAATCTGAGAAACGTCTGTTCTTCACTCTTTCATCTCGCAGGTGAACCCGGTCGCCAGGCTTACGGCAGTAATGGCCGTGATGGTGAGAGGGGACCCCGTGGTGTTTCTGGGATCAATGGCGTGCCTGGACCTCCGGGACCTCCTGGCAGAAATGGTTACTGTGAGCCATCGCAGTGTGTCATGCCCATGGTGGCACAGCCGGACCCTCCAAAAGACTCTGGTATGAAGGGCCCCAATGAGATCTGAGGAGGGGCCCAAATGAGGTGGAGGGAAAAATAGACCGATTGAAGTGAATCCAGAAGTCTTTAAAAAGTTTTGTCCATTTGGGGTTTTATCACTTGGTTTGTGTAAAGAAAAATAAAAAAACATTCATCAGCTTTTGCAACTATTTTGCATAAAAAAGGTTTTATTTTATGTTTTTCAACGTAGACATCTCTGTACTGTAAAACTGAAGGAGCATTTTTAAGAAAGGAAGATCCGATTGTACATGCACAAACTTCCAGACAAAGTTTTCTGTTTCTCTGTATGTTTCTGTAAATGTGTCAGTATACAGTGGTTTGCAAAAGTATTCATACCCCTTGAACTTTTCCATATTTTGTCACATTACAACCACAAACATAAATATATTTCACTGGAA